AAGTCGGAGACAGCCAGGGCAGAAGGGCCTTAGCTTCTAAACAGCCAGCCTGTGAGTTTACGGACCAAGGCGGGAGAGGCTCACACCAAAGGGATCCACATGCAAAGGCCCGGGGGCAGGAGGACAGGCTTTCTGCTGGCCCGGAGCAGAGGAGAGTGAGGTGGCAGAACTCAGCTGGACCCTGAAGCTGGGGCCTCCACAAGATGTCAGAAACTTTACATTCTCGCCTGAGAACTGCAGAAGTGCACTGAACAGTGTTAATGAGGGGGCTGGTGTGACATGACGGTGACCCAGAGTGGCCGTCTGGGAGGAATCGGTATGGCTGGTAAGTGGAGAGCGACTGGGACAGGAGGCAAACCTGTAGGCAGACAGCCCGTTAGGAAGTGACTGTGTCATCCAGGTGACAGAGGACGAGGGCCTGGGGCCCGGCAGGGGCCAAACATGGGGAGGGGTGGACAATTCTAAAGAGGCTGGGCCATCAGCCTCATTGGTGCTAGTGACAGAAGGAAGCTTGGTGGAGGCCGAGGCTTTCAGCCAGGGGGACACGGTGGACAGTGGTGATCCCGAAGCAGAGCGCAAAGGAGGGGCTGGTGAGAGCTGAGCTCAGTCGGAACCCACCCCATGAGGCCGCTGGGGGCCAGTTGGGCCAGGGCTGGGCTGAACAGCAAACCTGAGGACAGGCAATGCCGAACCAGCCAGGAGAGCTGCCCCAGCCCACACTCCTGCGTCCTTATCCGGACTCTGGATGCCCTTGGAAGGGCTTTAGTTTCATCGTGGAAGTCTCGCAGCAGCCCCTGGAGGAAGGGCTGGGATGGCCTCACTCCAGAGGAGGGATGCAGGCTTGTGAGGAGAGGCCACTCGCCAGGGTCGCTTGGCTAATGAGCGGTGCCATCCTGGCTCCAGGATAAGCTCCTGCTGCCCGACGGAAAGGGAAAGTGAGGACAGAGGTGGAAACGGTGTGGCTGGAGAGATGGGAGGGACAGGGCAGCATGCAAGGCCTCCAGGAGAGGTCGTCTCGCCCCGTCTTATACAGGTGGACCCACAGGTCCTGGAAAGCCTAGCATCACAAGACAAGCCCAGGTCAAACAAAGGGATTTGATGCCACAAGATCCAGCTGAGCACTGGGGCAAGAAACTGCTCCCAAGCCCCAGCCGTAGGCTCCAGTCTCTGGTGCCATCGAGCCTGACCTTACTCAGAACCACCTCGGAAGCCACTCTGGGGACACCAGCCAGGGAGGTGGCCACCAAGGCTCCCAGCCCCTGCGTGCTGGCAGCTTTCCCTCCTCCCCGCCCCCAGCTTCTCTGTTGATCTCCGGAGCCGGTTGTCATCAGGGATGTTTTTACTAAGAGGGCAGCAGGCCTTGGGAGCTGCCCAGCAAGCAATGCCGGCCATCCATCACCTGGCTGAGAAGCCACAGCCGTGGGTAACTGGATTCGGGGCGGGGTCCGTGCACACACCCCAATTGCCTTTTTTTTTTTTTTTTTTTTTTTTGAGGCAGGGTCTCACTGTGTAGTTCAGGCCAGGTCTTGAACTCACCGTGTGGCCCAGGCTGGCCTTGTAATCACTGCAATCCTCCTGCCTCAGCCTCCCAAGTGCGCCACCACGCCCGGCCCACCTGCCTTTCATCTCTGCCCATGGCTGCTCCGCAGGGGTTCCCAGTGTAACTTCATTAATTCGGCCCGGAAACCTGCAGGATGATGGTGTGTGTGTGTCTGTGCATGGACACTTCTGAATGTGTGAATGTACAAGGTCCTCCTTGTACATGTGTGAGACTGACCCGGGTTCAAGGTCAGCCCCATCCCTTTCTAGCTGGGTCACCCTGGGCAGCCTCCTTGACCTCAGAGAGCCCATTTCTTCACCTGTACCCTGAGGACAATAACGTGGCACGGTGGTAAACGCCACCTGTTCTCGTGAGGACCGAGTGATGGCTTTAACACAGACGACGGGTCTGGAGCTGAGCACGTAAACATCGGCTCCTACCCTCGTTACACAGGGACAGGGTGCACACGTAGGTCTCACGGAGTGATCCCAAATATAGATTCACAAGCCTGCCCGAGTGTGGGTGGGCAGAGGTCTCTCCCGTGACGATGCTGCATCCTATGGCAAGAGGGAGCTCAGTCAGGGGCCCCATCTTAGTCACAGGAGCCATTGAGGAGCAGTTTCTCCAGGGCTGGGCACAAGGGAGAAACCTTCTCCACTGCTAAGATTGAGGGAGCCTGTGGCCCCTGGAGGACCCACCAACAGCCGGCAAGGCGTGGGTGGGGCTGCTGACCCGAAAAGCCGGAAGCTGATTCTTTCCAGAGCCTGGTGACAAAACCCAGCCCGGCTGGCACTGCGGTTCACTTATGGGACTTGGACAGAGAACTCGGTCCTGCCACCCACTGCTGGCTGCTTGGACCAAGGGGCCACTCACCAGTAGGGCTTTTCCAGTTTGGAGGCTCCTAAGACCCTGGCAGCTTAAAGTGACACACACACCGGCAACAGCTCTAGGCTCCGGGCGACACCTGACCCAGCCTCTAATCCTCTCGCATCTGGGTACAGAGAACAGAAAGTAAAGTCTGGAGCAGACAGAAAGGTCCCTGGGAGAGTCCAGCTGAGGTCCGCTGGGCCCCGCTAGATGTCCCTTACTGGCTCATCTGAGCTGGGAACATCAGCACCAGGTCCAACAGGAGAGGTGGGTCCCACAGATACGTGCTGCAAAAGCACTTTGGTGGCTTGGCAGAGCCGGCCAGCGATAAGGCAAAGTGGTGGCCGTTGGTTGCCTGGGTCAGGTCAGCAGTCTCGGTCCTGGCGCCAGAGGCTCCCAAGAGCCTGGGCAGCCTGGACCTAAAGCAGGGAGCCCATGGAAAAGGCCCAGCCCTGCTCTGGGGACTGCACAGCCTCCTCCCGGCATGCTGCTCTGGCCTAGGCCTCTCCCTTCACCACCGCCCCCAAGGTCTCTGCTGTTCAAGAGGTCAGGACTCTGAAGGTTTTCAGTCACCTCTCTTTTGCCAAACTAATGAGCCAAAGTCAAAAAGAATTGTAATTTGTATTTCTCTGATACCCGTGAGTCTGACTTTGCATGTGAATTTCTACCCAACTCACTCCCTACTTATATTTAAATTTCTTGATTATTCCACCTGCACATGGTACGCATTTCTAAAGGTATAAAAAGACAAACACTGGAAAACCAGACACTGTCCCCAGTCATCCAGACCAGCACCCCAAAGAAAAAGTCATCTTCCTAGTTTCCTAGGTGTGCACCACACTTATTCCAGGCTCCAGCTGAGATGTTCTGGGAAGCTCATGGCCTGACAGGTTCTCTGCCTCTCTTCTCTGCCTCTCTCCCTCTTTGCACACGTAATCACATCATCCTTAATATTTTCAGCTACCAAGGTGTCTTCTGCCTTTCTATATAAAGAACTGCTTTTCCCCTGTTTGTGGCTGTGTAACATTCCACAAAAGCAGATATATATCTGCTCCTGTTCCTGGGGCGATGGGGGCTATTTCACATCTCTTGCAACCACAGACACAGTCACTGAAATGTCACTCCACATAGGTGCAAGAGCCCCTAGAATCCAGATTGTTGGGTCAAAGTCTGTGCAAAAGGCCAGGTGGCTTTCTCTGGAGGATGTGCCACTCCCTTCCCACCAGCACTGAGTGAGCATTTCCATTTCCCGTGTATCACTGGGCCAAGGACACATCAAAGCTCATTACTTTTCCTGATGGGAAAACAGGGGCATCACACTTTGGTTTGGTTAGCAGCTTTCTTATGTTGAGTAGGACCGATCATTTTTTCATATTTCTTTGAAAGACCCATTTGTTTGCCTTCTCTGTGAATGATCTGTTCTTGTGTTGCATACGTTTTTCTGTTTCTTGTTTTTTTATTTATAAAAGCTCTTTATATATGAAGGACACTAACACTGGGCCAATTTCAATGACACTTTAAATCATTTGAATCGTTCCTCAAGAGTTGAGTAGAATTGCCCTGGGAAGCCATCTAAGCCTAGCAATTTCTTCTATGGTTATTGGTCTGTTCAGATTCTCTTCCAAGGGCATTTTTATAAGCTATACTCTATATGAAAATGATCTGTTTCACACACATTTTCAAATACATTGACATATTCATCTATTTCCTCTTAAACTGGGGTTATTTCTCAATATACTTTTTTATCATTATTTTAAGCAAATCTGGTCTCTTGTATTTGAAGCACCTCTCATAAATTTTTTTGGATCCCGGGGCTCGAACTCAGGTCCTTGCGCTTAGCAAGTCAGGCAGCGGAACCACTGAGCTAAATCCCCGCGCAATACACTTTTTTAATGTTTATAATTATAAACTTTATTTTTATTTACTACACCAAGATTTTCATGAAAGAAACTTTATATCTGCTCTTTATAATTCACTTTATAGGCAAGTGCTAATACAGCAAGTACTCTGAACACCATTCCAGTTTTAGTACACGTGCTGCCCAAGTGAGTACATGAACCTGTTTTTGAAGTCAATGTGAAAAACAATACTGTGGGTATTACTTTTTTTTTTTTAGTCATGACTCCAGAGACTTTAAATTTTCAAGCTCAGTATTATTTTGCTATGACAATGCTTTACCAAAGGGAAAGTGGGTAACTTTTCCCCAACAAGGCTAAGGCATAT